TATCAGTAATTCAATAAGTAGGCGTGATCGAGTACGTAATAAAAATATTTTTAATAATTTTAAACTTATATACCTACGGATTTGTTCGGAACCCTCGGGCGCGCGCGTTTTTTTTTAAATAATAAGTTACCGCAAGTTGTACAAAACAATGATTTATCACAAAAAAATTCCAAATTCATAAGATTATTTATCATATGTTTACCTTTTTTGTACAAGGTGGGGCACGATCTGGCATTCTCCTTTAGAAAATTTAATCCATATATTCTTTATAATTTGCGTCATACAACACTTACCACATTACAATAACCACACACTTTTCTTTTTGTGATCCTGTCCCTGTCCCTCCAAAGTTAGCGATTAGACCATCCATAGTAATACTGATATTTTTACATTTTTTTTAAGTTTATGTATTTGTTTTGATGTAAAAAGCATTTATAGATATTTTAATACATATCTCCAAAATTAGAGGTATGTTAGGATCGAGATAAATGGAAGCCCGTAGTCCCTGCCGACCCCTTTGTATAACAAACAAGAGATTAAGTATGTATGTATGTACCTGCTAAATAAATATCCCGCTGTGTAATGATGTCGTAAGAATATCCATCATCATCTTTCTTCACATGTGTGTAACCTGTTGTGAAGGCGATTATGAGATTGATAATAAAAACTAATCACTTCCGACTAAAGGTACCAGCGTAAAATGGCAGCTTGACACTGCTGTGTTTCGTATGGCGAGTGTAGAGAACCATAGACCCATTTTACTGGAAAAGAGAAATTCCATCTTAGTCCTCACGGGTGACGACGCATCTGCATTTTGATTCTTTATTGAGGATAAAGGTAGATGTCTATTGGTCACAGCAACCACTTACCATCAGGTGGACTGTGTGCTCGTTTGTCACCCTATCCTATAAAAAATGTTAAGTATAAATACTTATATATGTACAAAAATGTTAAGTATAAATACTTATGTATGTACCTACTTAATAAATATCCCGCTGTGTAATGAAGTCCTAAAAAAATCAATGACCATCTTTCTTCCCATGTGTGTAACCTGCCATTAAGGCGATTATGAGATTGACAATAAGAACTCATCACTTTCGACTAAAGGTGATATTACCATTCCGTTCCCACCAAAGGTAAAATACTCAGACGGTTGACGAGGAACAAGATTAAAGGGTGAGAAATGTCTGATATTGCGATCGCCATTCCGCTGGTGATGCTGGCGATTAGGGCAAATTTCCCTACACCAAAAGAAGGTAGAATAGAATAATTTTTATTCAATGTAGATTACATAGTAAGTAATACTTATTGAAAGTCATTTTTTAATTTTACCACTGCTTTTGAAAAAATAACCTCTGTCCTGGAAAGAATCAGCTAGTAACTCAGTGGGACTTTTTTTCAAAGTAAACTATACAATTAGAATGTTCTTACAAACTATTTACAAAATTTATTTTAGAAACAGCTTGGAAGCGACCACAGGGGTTATTATCAACCGTTTATTCATTAAAATTATATGAATCCTTTTATACAGTTTTTGTTTCATAAAATATTTAAACTTGGCAAGATCTTGTATATTTTACGGGCTTTGTTGTAAAAGCGTATATATTGCCCCAATAATGAATTACTGACTCTGTGGAGTTGAAAAAGTGTTGTGTTGACAAAGTGTATATCACCTTTTTGGTAAACTTTATGTTCAGCACTGTTTGTTCGATTTTTGAATAATTGATAGAAACATCTTAATTAACAGACTCACTCAACTCAGGCGTTACTTTGCGGATATCCATTATATTAAAGTTGGAAAAAATTACTTTGACTTTTTGGATAACGCCTGATTCTATTAATTATCTGAGCGGATATATGTAGGCAAAGTAAATTTTTCCAACTTTAAGAATCGTGTTATTTTGTATTTGACATTTACTTTGTCGTGATAGTACAGAGACTAAGCACTTGTTGTAAATTTCACTATATGCCCGCAACCTGAGTACGTTGCCCCCAGTCGGCACAAATAGATTTGTGAATTGCAATTATAAGTGCTGATTTAGAACGTATTTAGTGGTATTGACCCTGTATTCACTACTTGACTTAACTTTAGGCGTTAGTTTGCGAAAATTCATTACTTTAAAATGTGGAAATTCTTTGGCCAAAATCTATCGACATGTCAAATTGATTATAATTATGATGTATATTAATATAGATTATTAATCCAATTTATATTAAATAAATCTATACATTTTCCAATTTATTTGAAAAATATTATAGAATATAATGATGATTTTTTTGTAAATATATTAGCGATGTTGTTGTTATTCGGTACATGATGTATTCACCCGTAATGGACGTGTGTGTTAGACATAAATTTATTGGTTTGCTTCATGAATAAAGAAAATAAAATAAATAAGATCCTTATAAAAATAAAATGGTATACTTTTCAAACTGTATAAGAGAAACTGTTCGATGTTTTAATTATAATATCTACCACTGCTGCATATAAAAGAGAGAATAGTAATGGAAATTTGTTAAACTGTAAGACCTTGAAGCTGCTGGTGACCGAAACTTAGTCGATAAGTCACAGGTTTATGATAGTCCTACAATAAAACTTTTCTGAGTCCCTGCCAAATGATTTCGTGAAAATTTATTTAACACATTTTGTTTAAATCTCACTCCTTTGTTGACATTTTTCGAATAAGGCGTAACAACTTAAATATGAATGAATCCGCTCGACAATTAAAATTCCAATTCTAGACTAACTACACACATTACACTATAAAACGCTGGAAAGTTAGTATGAGTGTGTACTGTTTTCTGACACATATAGATAAACTCTCCTCGTTCCAAAAAGCTTCTTTCAATTGTTGTCGGTAGTCGGTTAATCTTTCTATTCTCCTTTTAAAGGCTACTCATCACAATATTGGAACCGATAACTCATTGATTGATCTAATCTTTACTGCTTCTCCTGATCGTATGATGATGCACGGACAGTTACCTGCTTTGGTATCTCACGTCATGGCTTGATTTATGCTTCGTGTAAGCTTAAACCTCCCAAATATTCCCCTTCTGAATTGCATCTGCGCAGTCTTTCTAAAATAGATTATGACAAGTTAAGGGATGACGCTCTTAATCTCGATCTAGCCTTATTCATCGCAGTACTGTTGGCGATAAAGTCTCTAATCTTAACCAAAATATTCTCACTCTTTATGATGCTTATGCCCAAGTTCACAAGGTTAGATTGAATCAGTCTGTGTGGGGCAAATGAGCTCAGCTTGGGCTGATGTGGAAGCTACTGTGCCGCAAAGCGGTATTCCTTCTCCTGTAATTTTTAAAATTTTTATAAATTTTGTTAGTTCCATCTTCGATTGCTCGTAACGTTTGTATGTCGATGACCTTCAGCTATACGTGCAAGCTGAAATTGGGGATATCCATAATGGGATTAAAATTTTTTATGACAACTTATCAGTTATCAAAGATTGGTCTACTCGCTATGGAGTGTTGGTCAATCCTTTGAAATGCCAAGCTATACTGGTGGGTAGGTGAAGGATGCTAGTCAATATTAATCTTGCAGACTTACCTCCAATACCGTTCAGTAAGTCTGTAAAAAATCTTGGCCTACACATTGATAGCACGCTGAATTGAGAGAACTCAAGTTTCAGAAGTCAGTCGTAAAGCCATTGCCACGTTACGTTCTCTGTATCTTTTAAAACATTTTCTCTCCATAAAGTCTAACATCATGCTTGTCCAATATCGCATATTACCCATAATTGATTATGCAGACGTGTGTTACCCAGATCTGTCCCAGGGTCTTCTGAACAAGCTGGAACGTCTACTCAATAACTGTATAAGATTTATTTTCGGCCTTCGTAAGTAGGTATGACCATATTTCGCAATATAGATCTGAGCATATTTAGCTTACTCGTACATTCCGGGTGAGGCGTAATTCCAGATTATTCCATGTTCTCTTTTGCATATTAAATGACCCATTTTCGCCTTCTTATCTTAAGAGTAAATTTCACTATCTCTTCTCAGCTCATGATAGGATCCTACGTTCTTCTTCTAACAACAAAATGTGTATTCTTGTTCACTTCACCGAGTCCTGTGGTAACAACTCCTTTAGAGTTCAGGCTACACGTATTTGGAACTCTATGCCCGATGACATCAGAAAAACTACAAATAAGTAATTTGTTTATAAAAAGTTGGTGCGTAATCATCTATTAAAGACAACGCTTCTTACATGAAACATCCATGTCATTTATATTGTTAGACGTATATAATCATAGTTATTTATATGTACTATTTATATATGTATGTTGATATGTATACATGTATGTTTATGTATGTATGAATATATGTATAAATAGGAGATATTTCTATATTATTTTATATATTAGTAATATGTATATATTACGTAGGAAATTATCATTTTTTTGTTTTTATTCTATATTGCTACACCTACGTAAAATTCTCAACACTCCATGGGTTGACTGGTAGAGAATGCCTCAAGGCATTAAGTCCGCCCTTTGTATCCTTTTATATCAAGGAATGCAATATAGAATAAATAAATAAACATATGGGTCACTATAATATTCTAATATTCGAAATTTTTCGATAGATCCAAAATTGCCATATGAACAACATTATTATAAATAAAACACTTTGTTCAAACTACTTTTTCTCATTTAATTAATAAATCTTTTTTTTTTGTTACAGATTTAATGTTTACCTGAAATCAAGAGGAATTGTTGTGTGTGAAATCAAGAGGACTGTTACACAGGATTACCATTATATCAAATTTATTTATTTAGCATAATATATTTTAAAATTTGACAATAATACAAGCCAAACTAAATTATTTGCATGATAAATGTAGATTTCTATTCAAATAGAATCTAACACATAATTAAATAATCAAAATAAATTATTTACAATTGCAAATACTAGTACTACATACCTTATCTACAGTTAAAAAAAATTGGATACAAGTAAATAATATAAGAACTCTTTAGAAAATGAGTTTTGATTCAACCTCTTCTAAGAAGCTTAATTTAGACAAAGCGAATAATTTCATGAGACAATTCAGAGACCCTGACTCGAGAGAACTGAAGAAACTATCGGCCAATCAATTTATGGAAGTGTGGAGCCATTACGACAGAGACGGTAAGTGATTATTTATATTTTTAATTCATTTACACCTGCCTATCAAGATCCACTGCTGAACATACGCCTACCCTTGAAAGGCCTTAAAAGTGGTTGAAATGCCTAAATCTTGGATATTTAAGTAAAAAAAATCTGAATAACTGTTCATTTAATCCACAAAGAAAAAATACAGGGTAACAGAAGAGGATTTCGTAAATGTTTTTAATTGAACAAAATTGTATTTTTGTCAACCCCTTATTAGAAAAAAAAATCCCCATAGAGTACCTATCTTTGTCATATTTTGCAAAATTTCTCCAAAACGGTACAAGCTTTTTAAATAGTTCTTACACTAAAAAAAAGGTCTTAAAAATATTAATATTTTTAATTGAGAGTTTTATTTTTATTCCCCGTTTTATAAGAGAATATATCATTTTTCCCTGAAATTGAATATATTTACGCGAGCGCGCATGCTCCGTCGCCCTGTGGCAGTCAGTTTTCGGACATTCGTGTAGAGTCTACTAGTTAGTCTGTGTTTCTGACATCGTCGAGGGTGGACAGCCCGTCGGTGTTGGAGCGACTTCGTTCAAATATATATTCGTTTTTTAAAAGTTTATACTCAATTATAAATATTTTTATGATTAGAAATACTTAATTTAGTTAATATCTGTACACTGGTAACTGTAAATATTATTTTCTAAATAAATTAGTTTTTAAATTGCCCAAAGAAGAAGAAATTTTCGCGGCGACGTTGATTAGTGAAATTGAAAAATGTATTTTTATATAATTTAAATGTGGAACGACGAACATGCTCTCGTTACTTAGATTTGGATAGTTTTTAATACCTATGTAATTTGTTGTTGCATATTTTTATTAATTAGTTGATACTGAATTTTATAATTATGTATTACAATAAAACGCTGTTTTTATGAGTATGACTTTATAAAATATTATTGGGGAGGGAAATGTAGATACAGATACTTATATTTAGGTACTGTTATCAAATTAAATCAAACAATTTAAATAAATAAAAAAAATTGTGCTTTTCTATAGAAATGAAGATATTCGCAGTAGAACCAGAGTAACTGACATAGCCCAACGGAATATTAAAGTGAAATGACAATGGGCTGGCTATATAACTTGGAAAATAAAAAATAGGAAGAAAGGTTCTCGAGTGGCAACCTCGTACAGGTAAGCGAAGTAGTACTCAACCTTTATTCCTCTTCACGTATTCTCATACGCTTTTCTTCACACATACTCACACACACACACACACACACACACACACACACACACACACACACACGCACGCACGCACGCACATGCACACGCGCACGCGCACGCGCACTCGCACGCGCACGCACACGCATACGCACACGCACACGCACACGCCCACGCACACGCATACGCACACGCACACGCGCACGCGCACGCGCACTCGCACGAGCAAGGTGGTATCTTATGGTAAATAAATACGGGGACCCATAGACACCTACATCTATCGTGGATAAAGAATCAAAATGCAGATGCGTTATCACCCCTGAGGCTAAAATGAAAAGTCTCGTAACAAAAAAAAAACGGGCCTACGGTTCTGGTCACTCACTACACGATTTACATTATATCACTATTTTAGATTGGTATTCTGTGTGATCATACGGTTCAATTTCGCAGGCGTTTAGCAATGAGATGCAGCGCTGAGAACCGCAGGTTCGAATCCAGCATGAAACAAGTATTTGTATGTTTTACAAATAATACTCATTCCGGGTCTGGATGTATGTCCTTGTGAAATGTATGTATGTAAACCACAAAGTTTTTGAAAATAAGCCTTGCAGCTATCTTGTTTGTCTGCATAATCAGACTTTGGCTCTTCTTGTATCTACACAATTATACGTACGTTGCACCATTGCAATAACTTGAATTTAACAAGTAATTAACTGCAATATATAAGTGATTTTCGGTCTATAACGCTATCATCATTACAGCCCTTCACAAGACTACAGCTGGATATAGACCTCTCACAAGGAATGCAACATAACACGTTCTTAAGCTACCTGCATCCATCGACTTCGTGCATGTTTACCCCGTTATACTTTGCTTACCGGTACGAGAATGCCGCACTAATATTTGAGCACGCAGTCAACTTCATGGTAAGTGGTTGCTGTGGCCTATAGACATCTACATCTATCCTCAATTACGAATCAAAATGCAGATGCGTTGTCACCCGTGAGGACTAAGATGGAATGCCTCGTTTCCTGTAAAAAGGGTCTCCGGTTCTCTACACTCACCATACGAAACACAGGTGTTAAGCTACTATTTTACGCTGGTATTTTGTGAGAGCGTGGTCCTTCACCGACCCATTCGTGCTACAACTATACTAATAATATAACTGCAGCATGGCTCTATCATGTATAAACATCCAACGTCTCTGCAACATCCTCATTGGTTTTTGGTTCTACAAACTATATGACCAGGCCATTTTCACTTCAGACTACTGATCCGACGAGATAATTCGTCTATTCTGGACTACGGACATCTTCATTACGTCCCTCTCCATAGCTCACTGATCGATCGCTATCTATCGACTAGCCTTAATTTCCGCCAAAGTGGTTCCACAACAGTTGCCTCATATTGTCGTTTGTCAAATTATTGAAGAGTTGCACCGCACCAAATAAAAATAAAACTGTATCGCATAATATATGTATATTCTTTGGTATAGCGCTCTAATAGCTTACAAAATTAAAGAAAATCTATAATGATTTCTTATATTTACGCGAACATTGAATAAAACCGTAAAAGTACTGATATTCAAATTATAGTGTAGACAATAAACGTTTCGACCTAAGGTATGAATTTCGCAATAACACCGCGAAAAATCCCGTATGAGGACATTATCTGTAGTGTTGAGGACTGTCTGTATAAAAATAATATTGGTAATGAAGATTTAGAGGCCATACGTCAAGACATTTCGTCTATGTTACGTCGAAACTCAGCGCCGAAATTAAATCTTTCCAAAGATGAATTTAATGCATTGAGAAACTTACACAACAGATCAGATCTCACGATTCTCCGCGCAGATAAATGTAATGCTACGGTTATAATGGATACGTTGGATTACAATTTTAAAATACAACAAATTTTATCGGATGAAACTATGTACGTAAAACTCAAAACAGACCCTACAACGAATAAGCTTAAAACAACTAGTGATTTAATTAATAAATACTCCGAGAAATTGAATCAAGACGTTAATACGATAATACCTGCGTATGCCAAGCCACCGAAAATGTATAGGTTACCTAAAAATACACTAACCGAACGCTCCATTACGTCCAATAGTGAGTCAGATCGATTCGCCGACACTCAGAGGATACATAAGAGCACACACTAAAGATTCATACCATTTTGCCAGTGAGATAAAAGACCTATGTCTTACTGACAATGAAATCATGGTCATCAAAAACAACATGCCAGCAGAATATGTAGTATTACTCAGACATTGCCTTACATCTGGCTATCTAGTGTGGAAGGAAGAGTTTTACAAGCAAATAGATGGTGTTGCAATGGGCTCACCGGTATCTCCCATTGTCGCCGATATTTTCTTGCAACACTTTGAGGAGAAAGCCCTGCTTACTGCACCTGTAACTCCAAGGTTCTACGAGCGGTACGTAGACGATACTTTTAGAATTTTACCATCAGACAAAGTAACTGCATTTTTAGAACATCTTAATTCCATAAACTCTAAAATTCAATTTACTATGGAGGCAAATAATTATTTAGCTTTCCTAGATGTGTTAGTCAATCGAAATCCTAACAACACCATAGGTCACACTGTGTATAGAAAAAGAAACATACGAACCAATATTTAAACGATGAATCACACCATCATCCTTCACAGTTAGCTATCGGGGGCAAATCCTTGTTACAGAGAGCACGAGGGATCTGTGATAGTAAACACCTGGCTGACGAGCTTCAGTACGTCAAGAAATTTATATATAATGGAATTTTGTGTCAACTGCATAAAGCGCTCCTGAGAAAATTCCACAGAATATCGTATTCAAACTCTAAATAATAAATAAAATACACGTTAGTTTAATTGTTAAGGTTCTAAAGCGTTTAAATTATAAATGGAACCCTATTACAAGCTAATAGAGTCCATAAGGCGGTAAAACAACTTTTTCTCTTAATACAAAGTCAATGATGGTCTGTTTCGTATGGTGAGTGACGAATGCCCTTTTTACTCGTAACGAAGTCAAGCATTCTGATTTATTCCTCAAGGGTGACAACAAATGCATTTTGATTCTTCCATCCATCCATACCAGGCTATCAAAAGTCCACTACTGGACGTAGGCCTCCCCATAAATTGCCTTATAGGGTTTTTTTTAATCATTATGAACCGGAAACCCAAATCCTATTTCTTGTTCTGTCAAGACAACTACGGGACGATATGAGTGGTGGATATTCTTACACTTCCACTACAAGGTTAAGACCGCCACTAAACGGTTAACAGCACTTCTACACGATTAACACGGCAATCAGACGGTTTATCGAGAATAAATATAGGTGCCTATGGCCCTATGAATGTTATTCAAATGCAATCAGTTGAACTGAGTGATCGTTAATCACCCTTCTTTCTATTAAAAATCCCAAGCATAGTGCTCACTGTTAACAGCGTACGAAGCGTGGGCAATCGTTAAATGCCTGATATAACCATTTTTAGTAATGAACCCATCTTACTGACACTCACGAAAACGTGGGAGCAGCATAACCGGTACGCGAGTATATCTCATACGCTTTACAAACCACCTGATCAACATGGAGATTGCTCACTGTTAACAGCGTATGAAGCTTGGGCAATCGACAAATGCCTGATATAACCATTTTTAGTAATGAACCCATCTTACTGACACTCACGAAAATGTGGGAGCAGCATAACCGGTACGCGAGTATATCTCATACGCTTTACAAACCACCTGATCAACATGGAGATTGCTCACTGTTAACAGCGTACGATGCTTGGGCAATCG